ATCTAGTCTTACACTGCTAAATTAGGGACGGCTAGCGACAGATAGTCCTCGTGTAGCTTTGACGCAAAATCCATAAAAAACAAACAAATAAACTCTTTTAGAGCTGTAGAACACAGTTGTCGCTTGTGTCGAGCGAAAATTCTAAAACAAACATATGTTTATTATATTTTAATTGTGTTTATATAAGCATTAATTCTGTTAAACGTTTCTTACCTTTCTCACTAACCATAAAAATGAATATAATGACTTCAAGACACGATATACAACATAAAGTTTAAATAGGAATGATTCAATCATAATATCAGTATATTTGTTTCCTTGTTTTGTCGAATTTCGTGCAAAGCTAACAGAGGGATTTCTGCTCTACATGTCCCTAATTTTGAAATGGTATCTACAGAGAATGGGTAGCTATTCAAAATCACCCATTGGAAACACCTGAGCTTTTCTTGTCAGACAGACTTATAGAAAGTGGTCTTAATGGGCATGTAGCTACACGGAAACCTCCACTGAGAAGAGTTAACCAAACCAAAAGGTTTAACTTGGTATCCGACTACAAACAGTAGAATGAGCAAAGCTGGAAGAGTGTGCTTTTTACGAACAAACTAACTCTTCTACCAAAGTACTTCTGTAGTCCTTGTTCAGGAAGTATTACATAGCTATTACTGAAACAGAATTAATGGGAATATGAACAAAATTAAAGGACAATATACCAATGCGTTATCTCTTAGCTACCTATATGCTCCAGTGTTATTTGAAGCTGTAGATATTTATGTACGTATGTATGTTTTATCCGCGTCTTAACATGCATTAGTGCGTGCCCTTATAACTCCCAAAACGTGTCAATACTTTAAATCAAATTAAAGAACAATGTGTCACGTGAGTTTAAGATTACTAAAGTCCTATATCACACAGGGCAACATTAACATAAACGTAAGTCTCTAGATGAAATACATCATTTGGTATATCTTCATACTTACATTAAAGGGGAAGTTGATGGCACCAATTGTAAAACAGACTAGATAGTAGAAAATGGCAAAATTTTTATTTATCATTTCCATACTTAGTTGTGCCCCCTGTCTTACTTCTGAGAGGATATTGGTCTGTAAATAAAGAAATAATAAGATATAAGGAATTGATGAAATGAAACACTGAACAAGTTCGAACAATACATATTAATTAATGTTTTTACAAGCAAATATATATATATTGCTAAGCAATTTCATCTAGTCATATGCTTCTGTTATGTTCTTTGTCCGTTGTAAATAGCCCTTTGTGTAATTTTACGCGAAATAATGAAACAAACTAACCTTTTTCGCCAAAGCACTTTTGTACACCTTCTTCTAGAGTATAACAGAGGTCTTATGAAACCGAATTAATGCGTATATGAACAAAATTAAAGTAGAATAAATAACTGTTTGTTTTAGAATGTTCGCCCAAAGCTACGCAGTGGGCTATATTCGCATAGCAATCCCTAATTTTAGGCTGATAGACCAGAGGTAAGACATTTAGGGACCGGCACTCACCACCAACTACTCTTTTTTGACCAAATATTGGGATTTAAATGTCACTCTGAAAGCACACCCACAGCCCATAGTGCGGAACGAGCTTTTGCGGCAACGAGACACGAACCATTAATGAGTGGATTCAGAGTCCAGGCATTATAACCCACTCGGCCACCCCACGTCATGATGGCAAATAAAATCGTATCAAATATTCAAGTTTGATCTTTATAATTACTTTAATTCAAATTTGAAAACAAAAGTTGAAAGTACTTTAATAACGTTTTGATCCACGCAACATTAAATGTATTAATAAAAACTACCAATTGTTTCTGTTTTTGCGGAAGGTTTGGGTTGTTTTACTTAGTGTTAAACGTTACTAAAGTTTCTCGCTGACCATAGAAGTGAAGATAATGACTTCAAGACTCGTTAAAGAACATACATTTTAAATAGGATTGATTCATACATAATATCAGTGTATTTGATTGTTTTGTTGAATTTTGCGCAAAGCTAACCGAGGGATTTATGCTCTAGACGTCCCTAATTTTTATTCTTAATAATATACAGAGAAGGTAGCTATTCCAAATCACCCATTGCAAACTATTGAGCTTTTCTTGTCAGACAGAATAGTAGGATTTAATGGTCACTCTTATAACACACTCATGGTCCCAAAATGAGTAGCACGAGTTTTGTTTTTGATGGAATGGAATGTGCACCATGAGACTTTATATCCGTAGTTCAGTACGTTAACTACTAGGCTGCACTCAGTGTGTCATTTAAATTCAAATTATTTTGATAATTTGTTAGTTATTATTAAAATAAAATAATTCTGATGTTTTTCAATGAAAATTTAGAAATTCACTGAGGCTATTGAAATATAAACTTATCATGACTGTTAGAACGGGAAAAGTCTTGTGTTTTTCGAGTTTCAGAGTCAGAGAAAAGTTTGTGGTACTGTTTACAGTAGAAAATTAGTGAAGATTTTTATGTTACTGTGTTTCGAGTTTAAAATCTAATGATTCCAACATAGGCGCTCAAAGGTATCAATAGATCAGGATTCGCACAGGTTCTTAAAGCTCATATAATCATTTTACCTTGAGATAATTTTTATAACAATTTATAATACGAATTTTAAGCAGAATTTGAGTATAAATCTTATGTATTCCATTTACGTTTCATTCAAGTTAAATTTACAACCATATTTACATCAACTTTCATACTCACATTTTATTGATAAAACCTATGGTATTCAGTATCATTAAAATACATATATATATATTCGCATGGTTTTCGATAACGCAAAGAAGATCTCAGTAATGATTTATTTATACATGGGTCTCAAAATAAATAAATAGGACTTTTAAATTGTTTTCTGACATTTATAATTTAGTTATTATAGAATCTTCGTACTGCTTGAAGAAAGATTATACGAATTGTTATGATAAATTTTGGTTGATTTGTTTGGTTTGATTAATGACAATATTTTAACGATAACATGTGAGTTATGAACTAATTGAGATGCTTGATTTATTAAATGTTCTTTCTTTAACACAGTACACCTTTTAATTGTTCTTTCTTTAACACAGTACACCTTTTAAATGTTCCCTGTGTTAAAGAAAGAACAATTAAAAGGTGTACTGTGTTAAAGAAAACACCTTTTAAATGTTCTTTCTTCAACACAGTACACCTTTTACATGTTCTTTCTTTAACACCTTTTAAGAAACCTAAAACGTCCTAAAACATTATTTATCTATATAGTTGTGCATTTATTTCATATAAGAATTTTAACAAACTAGTTTCATTTTGCTTATGTTTTTTTATAATAACTTGAAAATCCGTACAAGATGGATCCCCGGTTATTTTGCCAAATAATTTTTGAAGTCTCTTCCTTTAAAGTGGTTGATAAAATTGATAAGATGATAAAGCGTCGCTATAGCAGACTAATATTTGATAAGATGTGCACACCTGCAGCCTGAATCCATAGTATCCAATACCTGCACAACTGCTAAGGTTGATGAGAATGGTCATAAGTATCCACATAAGCAATAAAGCCTTGGATTTCGTCTGAAACAAAATTATTAAAAAATTAAAGAATGCATTGTGATACTACTAAAAAAATAAATAGATAAAAACATATAATAATGATAACACTTATATTGAAACATAGTAATTTTCTACAATGCCAAAATAAGAATACCAGCAAACGATTGTTACCATTGTTGCTGAAACAACCAATCATTTTAGTGTTACGTCTTACATTACAAGCTATGAGCTACATGAAAATAATGTTTTTCGAACACCTGGTAAGCAATAATTCTGTTTAGCCTATGGTGAATGATTTCAGAGCTGTGTGAAAAAGGAAAAAATATATTATTTTGGTCTTTTCACTTGGAGCAAGCCGATCACACAGAAATTTATAAGGTTCCTTCAATAATAAACGCGAAAAGAAAGTAGACTTTGCCGAAGAAATGTTTCTCACCTATCATTACAGACATAATAAAGGCCAATCGTTTTGAGTATTGTGGTAATTTTTTTAATCCAATAACAAAAAGTATCACTTGCCTCTGTACGAAACAGAAGAAAATATTTTTATATACCAGTTTTAGCCACTCGCACCACTATACAGTAGTGTGTTGTTTGTAAGTCAGTCAGTAGACATTAAAATGACGTCACATAAGGGACGCTTAACGTTGCAATTGTACTGTCGTGACGTCAGTAAAACGTGTGTTTGCCATGAATCACGAGAAGAATTATACACTCTGTAGGCTACAACACAGCATGGTATATGAACTTCAAAATCAAGAATAAAAAAACATTTGTTCCTCTTGATTTTGGTTGGATTAACTCTTTAAACAGAACACTTTTGGGGACACTGCAGAAATACATCTAGTATTATATTATATTTGTATTATAGCTAAAATTATTTCACCCAGATATTGAATATAAATATTTGTAGGAATAAAGCTTTATTTGAATAAACTTGCTAAATTTATATTTATATATGTATAAAAATATTATGTAAAGTATCAGGGAAAGGGAAAATATATTTCCTTAAAACAAACGGAACTCATATATATTTTTTAGAAATTTGTTAAAATAAAATCTACAGTCAGGGTTGTTTTTACGTTCATCGGACAGAAGATGGCGCTAAGAGGTGAAAGCAATGTGAAAAGTATATGCTCTCACTGGTCTTCTAACAAACAAATGATTTATTTTTTGTTTCGTTATAAATAACATATGGAGCAACTGCTGCGTTTACGAATTCCAAATAGAGCATGGTACGCAAAAACCTTTCTTAATGTATTAAAACTGTCCAGTGTTCTTCGATTTGGCTATATTTTTTATTCCATTTTTGATAAACTTAAAAGGAGACACTATATTTTGATATATAAACTTTCGGTGAATATTACATATAAAATTAATAAATTAATACAGTTTCAGTAAACAAAAAAAAATATTAAAGAGCATAATTTTATATTAAAAATGTTACTTACGTAACTGCCAAGAAGCAATAGTATAGCACTCAGAAGCCACAAGCTATAAAGAGTAAAAGATGCGATAATAATGCCATTGTCCACTAAAAAATAAAAATAAAAACATATCAGATAAGAACAATATAAAAATATATCTTATTACACATAATTTTGAGTTGTTGACTAGGTAAAAGCTAATATGTTAATATTTTCTAGAAAAATTATTCAACTCTCAAAGATTTGTAAAGAAAATTTGTATCAGTTTGTAAAGAAAAATTTCTCCAAGTTAGGCTTAAATTTGCCTTATTCTAACATTTTTCGTAGATTCAAAAAATTGCATAGAGATTAGATAAATACATTTGGTAATGTCCAGTTACTAATAGAAGGACTTTATTGTTTTTCTCTCATTTCTTTTTTACTTGACTTTAAAAAGGTGTAATCGTATATACATCGTGCGTGAACAGAGCTTTAAACTAATCATTGCCACTTACATCCACCAGGATATTATAGTGGCTACATGAAAGAAAAATTAATAATCTAACTTATTATTTGAAGATCAACGTTACATCGTGATTGTTTTTGTAATTTCCATTATATACAATTTAACACGTTTACAGATAAATTAAACGATTTTGATAAATCAAGGTTTTAGAAATTATGGAAACCCCTATGTTTAACAGATCTGCTTAACGAATTTGATCCTACGAAATGCTGTACGAATATTTATTTTGTCTGTCAAAAGAATTTAAGAAGAGGAATATACAGTTTTGTAAATATTATATTATATAACTTTAAAGAACTGTACATGATTCTAATATATATATATAAGTGTTCAGGCCCGGCATGACCAGGTGGTTAGGACCATCGAATCCCCGTCCCACCACATATGCTCACCCTTTCAGCCGTGGGAGTGTTATAATGTGACGGTCAATCCCACTATTCGTTGGTAAAAGACTAGCCCAAATTATGGCGGTGGGTCATGATGACTAGCTGCCTTCCCTCTAGTCTTACACTATTAAATTAGGGACGGTTAGAGCAGATAGCCCTCGTGTAGCTTTGCGCGAAATCCATAACAAACAAACTAGAAAGGCAAATACATGACTTTAAGGCTTTGAAATGCCCGAAAAAGAATAGCAAAACTAAAATAGTAATAGGCGAAACCCCGAGATCAGATGGGTTTGCTGTAGAAGTCTTTAAATGTAATTGTAATAGTTAACTTGCACCTTACTATTACATCTCAAAACCAGCTATGTTATAGGTGTATCATTTATAATAAGGGTGAAAAGCGTTATTTGTGTGCTAAAAATACATTTCAACTAATCTTAAAACAATACCTATAACAATTATAAGTACTGCACTTAAAGAGGTGTCTGCTTATATTGATGAACGTGTAAACCCGATTTGAAATACTTTCAATCGTGAATATTAAACGTTATTTTTGATTATCAGTCATACCGAAAAAACAACAACATACACCTAATTTTATCATTTTGAAAGTTGTTATTCAAATACACAATCTGTTTGATGAAGATGAAGATACGTGAAATTGGATCGAAACGTCACCTAAATCACCACTTTATCACGCAGTTTGTTGTTACCCAATAACTATATATTTCAAACATTTAAAGTCAATAAATAAAATACTAACTTTACTCTGTTAAAATGACTCTGGTAAAGCTTTCCATTCTATCTCGTGACGTTAGTTACCAAAAAATTGAAGAACTTCCCAAAAGTTTAACCAGTTCAACAACTGGTCTCTACTTTCTAACATAGTATCTTATGTAATGAAACATATTCTTGTTGTTTATTTATTTTACAAAATAGAATAATGTTAAAAGTGAGACTCATGATAGATGATTTTGTTATTTGTTAAAGTTATAATTGGAAATAATTAAGACAGAGGAATGACATAATTACAGAAACCATGTAGCATCAAAATCTGTCTTTGACTGTCACGCTTATAACGTTTCCTCAGATGAAAATGTGGAACATTTTCAAAGGTATATCGAATCTCAAACCTTGGACCGTCCCATCTGGAATCCAATACGATAATAACCAGGCACGTATGTAAAACGTTATTATCGTGAGTCCTAAACAATAAGTTTGTTGTTGTTTTTATTATTGTTAGTGCGATAAAGTACTAAATATCAAAAGTCATTTATAAGCAGAACCTTTATTACTTTCTTGTTTAAGACAGTAATACAAGTTTCAAGGTTGACATAGATGTTTATGAAGTATTTCTTACTTCTATTTTTGTATAAGTTTTACACAAACAAAACTACAAACTATTATTTTTGGCGAAATCTCATTAGAAGAGCATATTATTCCATTTCATTCGGTACTTACAGCGTTTTTAATACTGCTTAAAAACAGCATACGACGATGTTAGTCATTTAAAACGTTATTTATTAGAAAATTAAACTGACTTTTTACTGTGTAATACATATTCACGTTAATGAGTTTGGTTACATTGATAATAATTGACAATACAATAGATCTTGGAACTGAGATACTAATTGTTTTTTGTTGTATTTTTAATTTATAAAATGCAGTGTTTAATAGTGGTCTCTCTTAAAGTATGTTATTAATTTTTATGTATGCACATATTAAACATTCGTATTCCAAGTAAAATGTTCAGCCTATGTCACATGTCGTTTATACTAAAAATTGAATGCTTTCGAGGGTGTAATAAACAATCCATCAGAAACATGTTTTTATATTCTAAGTAACAATGTTCAGCCTATTGAATGTCACATGTCGTCTGTAATAGAAATTAAGTGATTGTTGCGATGAAACAGACCATTCACTAGACATGTTTGCATTCTATATAACAATGTTCAGCCTATTGAATGTCACATGCCATCTGTAATATAAATTAAATGTTTGTTGCAATGAAACAGACCATTCACTAGACATGTTTGTATTCTATATAACAATGTTCAGTATATTGAATGTCACAGTCCAATCTGTAATATAAATTAAATGTTCGTCGCGGTGAAACAGACCATTCACTAGACATGTTTGTATTCTATATAACACGGTTCAGCCTATTGAATGTCACATGACGTCTTTAATATAAATTAAATGTTCGTTGCGGTGAAACAGACCATTCATTAAAAATGTTTGTATTCCACGTAACAATGTTCGGTTTGTTGGATGGCACATAACGTCTATATAACAGAAACTGGGTGATTATTGAGGTGAAAGAAACATTTTATCACCAAAAAGCTACGAGTCGTTGTCCTAACCGTATAACTTGATTCTTTATATCATTGGAAATTGGGTACATTAGGTTTTCCGGCAGTCTCGTTACTCCAAATAAAGTGAACCATAAACAGTTTCTGCCATGGTGTAAACTTGTAGCAGTTTCTGCCATAGTGTAAACTTGAAACAGTTTCTGCCATAGTGTAAACTTAAAACAGTTTCTGCCATAGTGTAAACTTGAAACAGTTTCTGCCATAGTGTAAACTTGTAGCAGTTTCTGCCATAGTGTAAACTTGAAACAGTTTCTGCCATAGTGTAAACTTGAAACAGTTTCTGCCATGGCGTAAAGTTGCAACTATTTTCTCTGTGAATAAATAAAATTCAAGCTACTTTTTGATAGAATAATAATTGCCTCCAGAACACTGTGAGGGAAAAAACATGCACACTATGAACATACATCATCAGCGATGAAAAACTTTCTGTTGTCACATGGTTCCCCTGGTGGCTCAGCAGTAAGGCTTATAACTTTAAAAATCAGGTTTTCATACCCACGATGCGCAGAGTACAGATATCCCAATATATGACTTTGCACTTAACAACAAGCAAACAAACAGACCTGTCTAATTATTACGTCATATGCATTTAATAGCTTCTGATTAAATTGTACAGATATCCCAATATATGACTTTGCACTTAACAACAAGCAAACAAACAGACCTGTCTAATTATTACGTCATATGCATTTAATAGCTTCTGATTAAATTGTACAGATAT